AGAAAAAAAAAAGAAAAGGAAAGGAAAGGGAAGGGAAGAAAGGATAAGGGGAAAGAAAGTGGTTTGCCCCACGCCCCTTCGGCTGGGGGGCTTCACCCCCCATCCCCCCCTCTCCGGCAAGCGAGCGAAGCAAGCTTGCCTCCACTTCGACAAGATCCCCCTCCCCCCTTTCAACTAATGTTATGCATCTTTGTTCTTCTTAATATAAAAGATTTTTATTAAAAATAAAGAAAAATAGAATCCCCCATTCCTCTTCATCCTCCTCCTAACCCCCCTCCTCTTAAGGAGGCTTACGCCTCTTGCGTTCTGAACTACGCCTCACGCCTCTAGGTAGTGGAATGCCTCGCGTCACGCTTCCGTGTTTTAAAACATTGATATATATATATATAATATATATATATATTATTTTTATCAACAACATAAATATTGATTCATTAGATTAGAAAACAGAGATACAACAAGGAGTTATGGGCAAAAACAAAGCCGAAACAAAAACTATTCACTATTTACAGAACTGCCCAGAACATAGATTGTCTTTGAGATCTCCTTATCCACCTTATTTGGATCTTCGTGTCTTTAGAAATCTGTTTGAATCACCTGAATTCATTCCTTAACTTCCATATGATTACTTCCCCCTTTTCAGCCAGCCCACAACTATTTTTGAATCACCTTCAATATTCAGCTTATTAATCCCCATTTCTTTAGCTTTCTCTACTCATAGACTGCTGCCAATAATTCTGATCTCACCACATCTCCATGCTGTATAGGCCCTGAGTACAAAGCTAGAATGTTTCCATTTTCTTCCCTAATTACCCCACCAATACCTAATGGTCCAGGATTGCCCAATAACTACCATCATAGTTTAATTTCTTCCAAAGTTCCACCCAACACATGGAGGAGACCAGACCTCATGTACTATTGTCTTCTATACGAAGAACCTGCAATTATTTCCCACGATCTGAAGAAGTCTTCTATCTTAAAGTCAGCAAAAAGCTTTAAGGTGCTCACCCAATAAGCTACTCTTACGGTAATCACCTCAATCATAGCTTCCTTTCTTCTTTCCTTGTCTTCAAAGATTCTTAGGTTTCTTTCCTCCCAAACTGTCCAGATCACTGCTGCTCTAGTGCATCTCTACATAATCCTGCCTCTTCTTTTAGGGCAGCTGAAAAAGTGAAAGCTAAATACACCTTCCATCCAATCAGGGGGAAGCCAACTACATCCAAAAAGAGATGAAAACCAATCCCAAATAGAATTAGCAGAAGGGCAGGAGATCAAAAGATGAAAGGCAGTCTCACCATACAACTTACATAAAGAGCACCAACTTGGGGACAAGCACCAATTTGGTCTTTTCCTCTAAAGCAAATCACAAGTATTAATGGAGCCATGAAACACTTCCCAACAAAAAGAACTGACTTTTGAAGGGATGGGCCGAGACCATATCTCCTTAACAGGGCAAGAAGCAGAAGGGGAAGCGGAGATAAGAGAATTCAAAAAGGACTTATAGGAATAAGAACCCAACTGATTAAGGGTCCACACACTAGAATCTGAACCACCCTCCCCCAAAAACACTGAACTCAACAGAAGAAGCAAAGCAGAGACATTGGAAATTTCAGATTCTCTTAGATTTCTAGTGAAGCCAAGATTCCAACTCAGGTCTGAAAGAGATGAGGAAGAACTGATAAATTCACAAATTGGTTTACCTTTGAAACTAGAAAGCTCAAAGAAAGAAGGAAAAACCTCCAAAAGGGGGGCTTCCCCTACCCAAATATCCTCCCAAAACCTAATTCTCTGAACCAAAGCCAAATCATACCTTATGTGATTGAGGAACACAAAAAGATTGTCATGGATAGCCTTCCAAGGAGCAGCCAAAGTAGCTCTATGTAAGCAGCCCATATCCCAACCATTGTCATGGATACTTGAAATAACTCCAATCCACAGCCTCTCATTTTTTAGGAAAAATCTCCAAAGCCATTTACTCAACAAGGCCAAATTCTTCAACTTAACATTTCCAATGCCCAGACCCCCTTCAACCTTCAGTTCCATCACCTTATCCCATCTAACCAAATGATCTTTCTTCCCTTTACCAGGCTCCCAAAGGAAATCTCTCATTATCTTTTCAACTGTTTTTACCACAACTTGAGGCATCCTAAAAACCGACATATAGTATATTGGGAGGTTTGCTAGAGTGGATTTGATCGATGTGATTCTCCCTCCCACCCAAAGAGATATAATTCCTTTTCTAACTTGCCATTCTTTTCTCAAATCTTTCCACTACTGGTTCCAAAAACTAGACAACCTAGGGTTGCCATGAAGGGGTAAACCTAAATAACACAAAAGCCGATTTCCTTTCTCACAACCCAATAGATCTACTATTGATTTCAACTCATCATCTTCCACATTGATACCAGCCACTAAACTTTTAGACCAGTTGATCCTCAAATTTGAGATCCTTTCAAAGAGTTTCACTACTAACTTCAGAGTTTCTACCCCCTCTCTGCCTTCCCCATCACAAAAAACGAGGATATCATCTACAAACTGCAAGTGAGAGACCAAAACTCTATCTCTTCCTACTATCTAGCCTTTAAACAACTACAAAGATTTAGCCTTTAAAATCAACTTACTCAAGACCTTGGCCACCAAAGTAAAGAGAAAGGGAGAGAGTGGATCACCTTGTCTAAGACCTCGTAAGCCTTCAATGAAATCAACTACCGAGCCATTCACTAAAACAGAAAAATGACTTGTTTGCAAACAACCACTAATCTATTTACACCATACATTCCCAAAACCACAACTCTTCATGATATTAATCAAATAGTCCCAATCCACTAGATCATAGGCTTTCTCCAAGTCCAATTTGATTGACATTCTCTTTCTCTTTAACCTTTTTTGAGCCTCCACACATTCATTTGCAATTAGGATTTGATCAACTATTTGTCCGTCTTGGATAAAGGCCCCTTGGAACTAAGAAATGATTGAGAGGAGAACCTTTAAGTCTCAGAGAAAGGACCTTGGAAATTACCTTATAGATACTAGTCACTAAGCTTATAGGCTCGAAGTCTCCTGGCTGGGTGGCATCTTTCTTCTTTGGGATCAAGGCTAAAAAGGTTGAATTCATCCCCGGACTAATTCTTCCCCTTTGTGGAATTCCCTAAAAACTTTGATCAAATCATCTTTGATTATCTCCCAACAATCTTGATAGAACGCCATTGTGAATCCATCTGGTCCCAAAGCCTTAGATCTATTTCAATTATATTTAGTGATGGCATGTTTCATCATGCATAACTTCATAAAAAATGAAGCACATTATAATATGAAACTAGACAGGTAGTAACATAAAAACTTTGTGTTAGAGCAAGACAAAGAAAATTCTAAGTTTGAAGATGAATTTGATGGTAGATCCATAGATACAGAAATGTCAAGTTTACAAGAAAGGATTGCAGATGCAATGTAGACCCCAATACCAAGTAAACTACTAGAAACTAGCACTATACTTTATTTAGCTTTGATTTATAAGTAATTTCTAATGATTGGCATTTCTAATGAGATATTTATCCAGCTTCAATTTTTTTTATCAATAATTGTTTATTTTATCTTTTATCAATTAGAAGTGTTGAGCCTTCTCAATATACTTTAAGTCAGTTCCTAGAATGATAAATCCCCGTTTCTATGGCAGACAACCCACAAAAGTGTGAGCTGAAACCCAAGCCCACCAAGTTGGGTTTTTATTAATATGTATTTTGATTGATTCAAGATATTGAAAGTTAATCTAGTGCCCCTGGGTTTCTTCTTCTGGTTGAGTATAATTGACCATAAAATGAAAAATAAGTAAATAAATGAACTGATCAAGCCAGTAGGCCCAGCCTAGGACCACCCTATCTTCCTTATATAGATTTTTTTTACAAATAGTATATTCCTTATATAGATTTTAGGCTAGGGTTGTCAATTTAAAGTCAAAAGTGGTCCAACAAATAGTGGTATTGGATCTTTCTCATTTTTATTACAAATTAATAATAAAAATAAAAGTAATACGATTTCCTTAGTGCCCATCATCAAATAAAGTGAACTGAAACCCAAGCCCACCAAGTAGGATATGTATTACTTTTTTTATTAAACCAGGCCATTGGATACTTACTACAACATATTTATCAATTTCATTGAACATAAAACAATTTGGAATGTTAGATTGGGGTTGTATGAGCTATTGTAATATATGTTACAATTCAAATACCATGTCGGGTCTTAGAATCAGATGGGAAATTGCTCGTAGAAACCATGATTCCAGAGAAAAATACCAGAAACCGTCATGTCAGCATCATATTTGCCAAATGCAATTTCACCAAAAAAAATCAGGTGTTTCCCCAGATCTCTTAAAATCATTAATTCTTGATAAAACGAATTTGGCAAATTGATTCCTCCGACCAAACACCCACTCAGTATGCTAAATAGAGTATTTTCACAAGAAAAATAACAACAGAAAACATAAATAATCAACTCTGAAATCAAACTAGCAACTGGAAAATTTAAAAAAAAAAAAAGTAAAATGTAAAACTAGATCAAAAACAATAATATAAAGAAAAAAAAAAGACAAAAAAAAGCATTGTTATAATCGCCATAAGAAAAACTAGTAGGTTCTAATCAAGCATCAAATGGAAACATCAATGAAAACCACGTAAATCAAATATAAAATAAAGGAAAAGTAATAGAAAAGGCATTTAAAACTTATACGTTGAGCATTCTTTAGAATCCCAACTTCAAGAGAAAACAAAAGAAATCCATCAAATAAAAAAAAAAAAATTGATATTCATCGATATCAATAACCAAAATCCATCACAAAGTGAACAAAACTTGGGTTTGCGAATCACAAAAATTTAAAAAAAAAAAAAAAAAAAAAAAAGAGACACAATGCAGCACCAGATAAAAGTATTCTGAAACCCTAGAATCCAGATTCATGTAGGGCAAAAGAAATAAAGAGGTGATAATGACAACTGTGAAACACGGACCTTCTTATCTTGTTGCCCTTGCCGACCTGATACATGCCCCAGGAAAAAGCACCAAATGCAGTGAGGAAAATGGCGAGGGCACTGGGGCCCTTAGTAGGGATGCGGCGAGCGTACCGTACCGGAGGGAAACCGCCAGGAGGAGGTCCGTCCTGCAGAAGCGGCATCTCCTTCACGCTTACCATCCCGGGTTTCGTCCTTATCATCGCCTCTGTCATCTTTCCCGGCTTAATTCGATCCCGTCTGGTTCGATCTTGATGTCCCTAGAATCAACTTTTTCAACTCGATCCCTAAGCAGTTCCTCCGGACACTGGAGCAGATGCTGTCGTAAAGCAACTGTGATGGTAGGGGTGAGAAAAAAAACCGAAAACCGAACCGAAAAATCGGTTAATCGAACCGGTCGGTTCAGTTTCGATTAGGTGTTTTTAAAAAATCGAAGATATCGGTTTCGGTTTCAGTTAACCAATATAGAAAATTGATGGTTAATCAAACCAACCGGTATATAATACGTATACCGATTACACTAACAGCACCCCTCAAGTTGACAATGGAGAACCAACGTGAACTTGAAGTTGTTTCTGAGTAACCTATTCACGAACAAAATGGAAATCAATTTTAATGTGCTTCGTTCTGGTATGGAAGACAGGATTTACCGTAAGGTACATAACACCAATATTATCACACCACATGATAGGTGAGGCTGGCATCTCAATGTATAATTCAAAGAAGAGAGATCGGAGACACAAGACTTCAGATGCAGCAATAGCGAGGCTATGGTATTCCGATTCCATGCTAGAACGAGAACACAGTAGAGTGTTTCTTGGACATCCAGGAGATAAGATTTGAGCCAAGAAAAATGCAAAAACCACCATGAGAGTGCCTGTCATCAGGACACCTTGCCCAATCAGCATCAGAGAATGCATGTAACTGTAAAGAGGAAGATGCCACAAAGTGAAGGCCATAGTCCAAGGTGCCTTTGAGATAACACAATAAGCGCTTTGTAGCAGATATGTGTTCACTGGTTGGTTTATGTAGAAATTGACACAACTTGTTCATTGTGAAAGATGTTTCTGGGCGTATGATAGTAATGTACTAAAGAGCACCAATAATTTGATGGAATTCAAGGGGCACGCCAGATGTCTTGGAGAGGGAATGACCAACAGCCATTAGAGAAGAGGCTGGTTTGGCAGAATCCATATCAGTTTTGTGAAGAAGATCAACGATATATTTCCGTTGAGAGAGGTGAAGGTGATGACCAGCTTGAAGTACCTCAATCCCAAGTAGACCTGTTCATGGGTCGGGCCGAGCTTTCACTCTGTATTAATAGATTTTTCTAAGGCTCGAGCCCGAGCCCAGCCCGACCATCAGGCCTACAACTTGGGCCCGAGCCCGGCCCTCATAAAAAGCCCGAAGCCCGGGCCTAGGTCTAGGCCCAAGCCCGAAATTTAGCCCATACTGTTACTACTGCTGAAGCGGCTGAAGAGAGAGAGAGAAAGAAATTATAAAGAAAAGAATAAAAAATGTATATATTAAATTATAAATATATATTTCAATAAATATTATATTATTTATATATTTTATATAATATATAAAATACATATTATATATTTTATAAAATATATAATGTTGGGTCGGGCCGGGCCGGGCTTTTTTGACAAATCCAAGCCCTGCCTGAAACAGAGTTAGGCTTACTATATTAGGCCCGATGTCAAGCCTGCGGGCCTAATTACATGACCAAGCCCGACCGGGGTGTAGGCTGGGCCATTGGGTTACCTGGCCCATGAACAAGTCTAATCCCAAGGAAGTATTGAAGGGGACCCAAGTCCTTGATAGAGAATTCCACTCATATCAAAGATAAGTGAGGTAATTTGTGAATTGTTGGAACCAGTGACAATGATGTCATTTACATAGACAAGAACAATGGTAGCATCAGTGGTAGAGTGACAAACAAATAATGAGGTATCAGCAATACACATATAAAATCCAAGATGAAGAAGAAATGAGCTAAATTGATGATAGATACCATGCACGAGGAGCCTATTGGATCTATGAAGCTAGGCGGCTGAGCCATGTATATAGTTTCTTGAAGATCACCATTTAAGAAAGTTGTAGTAACATCAAGTTATTGTAAGGACCAACCACGTGCTAGATCAAGATGAAGAACAACTCGAATAGTTACAAGTTTGATAATAGGGCTGAAGGTCTCATTGTAATCAAGTCCTTCACGTTATGTGTATCCAATGTCTACAAGGTGAGCCTTGTAGCACTCCACACTGCCATCGGGATTATGTTTGATACGAAATATCCATTTACAGCCAATGATGTTTGCATTGGTAGGTGGCAAACAGAGGGTCCAAGTATTGTTAGTAGTGAGAAAAGTCATTTCTTCTTGCATCACAGCCTACCAATGAGGATGACGTAGGGCTTGGGTTATGGTTTTGAGTTCAGTTGAGGTAGGGGGCAGAGAGTAAGAGGAGGCAAGAAATAAGCAGGGCTTAAGTGTCCCATCCCATGATCTAGTGATCATGGTATGGGTGCGATGAGGTAAGGTGGAGCTTATGGGAAGAGGAATATCACTAGGATGGGTGGATTCAGGGTGATTGGGAGATGGCTGGTCAAGTGGTATAGTTGTGGAAGGGAGGGAGCGGGCATCATAAAGGATATCAGATAAGGGGCGAGTTCATTGTTGAGGTGAAGATGTGAGCTGGGGTAAAGACTGTGGAGGTGATGAGATCAGTGCTGGTGTGGATAACAACTGAGAGGGTATAGGAGGAGATGGAGGCAGTGATAATGGTGGTGGAGGAGGTTGTGACAGTGGCAAGGGAGCTAAAACGATGGGAGGTGGTCCAATGGGCATTGATGGTAGAGTAGAGGGATGAGATGGCAGAGATTGTGGAGATGAACAATAGAGGAAATTGAGTTCATTGAATACCACATAGCGGGAGATGTAAACCTTACCAAAAGGTATATGAAGGCATCAAAATCCTTTGGATTTGTCACAATACCCAATGAATACACATGAAAGGCTGCGATAATTAAGTTTGTGAGCATTCTAGGGCCTTATATAAGGAAAGCACTCATAGCCGAACACACAAAGTGCCATATAGTTAGGCTTCTTGTGAAAGAGATATTCCCATGGCATTTTATAATTCAGCACCTTGGTGGGCAGCCAATTAATGAGAAAGACAACAGTGTGGAATGCATCAAACCATAGAGAAAGAGGCATAGATGCTCTGGCCATGAGTGTAAGTCCAAATTCAACTATATGTTGATGTTTATGCTCTGCCAAACCATTTTGTTGAGGCGTGTGCAGACAAGATGTTCTGTGAATAATACCATGTCGTTCAAAGATAGAATTGAGTGTCTTGTATTCAGTACCCCCATCAGTTTGTAGGATTTTGATTTTTCTATTCAGCATATTTTCAACTTGATTCTTAAATATAATAAATGT